GGAAATTCAATGAGGGCCACATTGCAATTTTCATGGGCCCTAGACACTTTTGCTTACATATGTCTCTTCCTCCATAAAATAGTACAAGTATATTTATTTTTCTACACTATTTAAAAAATACATGCAATCACACATTTGATGACTGCATTAATATAAAGATGAATATGATTCAGGCTGGATTCACTCTTATATATTCATTATTGTTATATTTACTTTTTCTTATTTTAAAACAAATTTAAAACATTTTCATGGGCCCCTAAAGGTATTGTAAGCCCTAGGCTTACTGTGCATAGTGGAAAAGTCTTCTGTGGGTGTGGGGACCTGGGCAGGGAGGATCTGTGAAGCAGGGGAAGATGCGCTAGGAAGTGATGGGCTAGGTCCCCGTCTGATGGACTCCATGCTGGGAGGGTCACAGCAAGTTGCCCAGTACATGGAACTTTTCTGGAAGAGCTACAGGCAATAAGGGAAGCTCAGGGAAGAACCAGGTTTCGGGGTCATTGAGAACTTTGCCAATGATTTTGGATTACACCTGGGAAGCAATGAAAGCCACTGAAAACTTTTAGGAAAGGTCAGACAGGGTGTATAGAAAGAGCCTCTGACAGCCAGATGGAAGGCAGCCCTGGAGGGGATGAGAGTAGCCAGCAGGTTATTTGCAGAAGCGAGAGGTAAGGGTGCAATACACTATAAGGCGGCAGTAGGGGTGAAAGTAATGGGAGGAGGGGAGATTAGAGAAATGCCAATACGTAGAACCAGTAGGATTTAGTGACTGCTGGAATGAGGGAGAGAAATGAGAATGAATTCAGGTGATGGGGACGAGTGGGACCCCTGGGATAGAATTTAGACTGAGGGAGTTAGGGGTGACGGTGAAGACTATGCCCCATGACTTGCTTACACAGCCCATTCACATACTTAATATTTATGCGTATTTGCTCCCAGCTTTTTACAATATTTTTAAGCTTAAACCTTTAATTCATCTTGGACCCATGATGATAAAAAATATGAAGTGAGGATATAAAGTGGTTCCCATTTCTCAAACACCTAGTCAATTGTCCCAGCACTAATTAATAATGAACGAATATATTAAAGTTATATTTTTGCATATATAGCATTGGGTTTCTAGAATATTTACGCTAGGACAGCATGACTTTTGTAGTCATATCTTTATCATGAGTTTGAATATCTGGCAGTTTGATCTTTAGGAAATAGCAGGAGAAAAGAAGAAATGAGAATTGGATTTTTGATACAGTGCACAAGGTATATTGTGGGGCATGTGGGTAAAGAGGCCTAGCAGTTAGATATGATTCTAAAGCTCAGGGCAGAGGGTGGGACTAAAAACTCAGATTTGAAGTAAAAGGCCTGGTGAGAAGCTAAAGCTGGGAGCATAAGATTGCCTAGAGAAGATGAAGGAAAACTCACTCCTCCTGGGTTCCCTATTTTAGGTGGTCTTCTAGCTATAGCCCTTACCAGGGGATGGAATCCAGGGACCACCTGGCATTTGCATTGCATTTTCTATATCACATTCCAGGTACCCAGGACTCTGGAATTCCCTGCCTAAATGGTCCTGAGTCTAACGACAAGACCAGCATTGGCTCTTTCCTAGGTCAGTCTCTACCATCAGAGAAGGCCTAAAGATGTTCAAAGGGTGACTGTTTACAGGATATATGGGCAGCATTTAAGTGTATAGCTGAGAGGACCCACACATATGAAGGAGGTCCTGCTGATATAAAATGGAATTCAGAGCAGAAGAGATGCGGTTTAGGTAGGAAGTGTGAGAATATGAGCATAATAACTGAAATGATAATCTCAACGGATATACTAAATTGTAGGCTAGATATGGCTGAAAAGAGATTCAATGAAGCCAAGAGATAAATACAAAGAAAAAAGAGTTTAAAAACATGGAGGGTTAGAGTTGAGATGGTCTGGAGTTCTTGGAGATAACAGAATGAAAAAGGTACTATATTCCAAAGTGACAATTGTTAAAAACTCTCTAGAATCACTGCGAGATGCCTACCCTTGGATCCAAGAATCCCTAGGAAGATTAGAAAGGGAAAGTAAAACCTACAATATAATAAAAACAGACACAGAAAACTTCTTAAAAGCATCCAGAAGAACAGACTGATCATCTATAGATAGAAGACCCAATGGCTAATGGCTTAACCACAATAAGAAAACAGAAGTAAAAAACAATGCAGCAAAAACTGCAATGTGCTGACAAAAATTCTATACCTGGCCAAATTCTCTTTCAAATATGAGGATGAAATTAAAGTAAGTTTAAATTAACATAATCTGGGAGCATCTACCATTAACACATCATCACTAACTGTAGAAGGAAAATGATTGCAACTGGAATATCTGATTTCTAAAGAGTCATGGTGGGGAAAAAAAAAGAATCATGGTGGACAGAATTCAGTAAACTTGAGAGCAAATATAAATAAATGTCTATATAAAACAATGACTGATTTAATATTAGAAATCCATATAATCTTATGGAAATATAGAAAGTGCATGCAATAAAATTCAGTATGTGTTCATTGGGGGGAAATGCATAGCAATCTAGAAAATTAAAGGATTTTCCTTAACTTGATAAAAGACATTGACAACTGCCTGCAGTAAACATCCTTCTGTGTAACAAATATTGAAATAATTCCTTTTAAGAGTAGAAGCATGACAAGGATGTTCTCTTTCATTGTCCCTATTCAACTCTGTCTGGAGGTGCTTGCCAGTACAGTAACACAAGAAAAAGAAATAAAACCATCATTTTTTGTAGATAATATGACACTCTATGTAGAAAACCCCAAAGAATCCAGATTTGTTATTAGAATTAACAACAGTTGAGCAAATATGTTAGACATAAAAAAGCCAACTATATTTAGTACAGTTTATTCTAACAGAATATTACCTGATGTTTGGTAAATCTGACTTCAATAAAATTAAGAATTTCTGTCCATCAAAAGATAACATGGGGGAGAAAATTCAAGCTCCAGATTGGAATGATTAGTACATAGACAATACAAAGTGTGTCATTAAGTCAATAAGGAAGTTACTAAAACAAAACAAAACAAAACAAAAAAACCCCAAGCCCCATGAAGAACAATAGAAAAATGGATTAAAAAGCTTGAATGAGACAAATAACACAAGGCTAAGTAGGAGTAGTCTGTAAATATGTGAAAAGATACTAATTTGCATTAGTAATAGAGAAAGGCAAACTAAAATCACAATAAGATACCTCTTCTCAAGCATTAGACTAGCAAAAAATGAGAAGTTGAACATGACAAAGGGTTGGTAAAGTTGTGGAAGAATGAGGACCCTTATGCATTGTTGGCACTAAGGGTCCTCATTAATTTTATTCCTGGATGTGAGTCCTAGAGAATCTTTGCAAAGTGCAGGAACATGTATGAATGCAAGAATATTTATAGTGGTAACATTTCTAATAGCAAATAGCTGTTATTTCCCCGAATGCCCCTCAAGCCTAGGATGGGTATATAAATATATATTTGAGACATTATATTCAGAGATTGGAATACTATGCTACAATAAAATGAACTCAGTTATATGTATCAAGATGCATGAATCTCAAAAGCATGATGTTGAACAAAAGAAGCAAGTTACAGGCTACATACATTATGATTCCATTTAAATAAAATTGGAAAATAGCAAAAATAAAAATATATTTTGCATAAAATCACACATATATGTAATAAAAGCTGTATGGAAAATAATACAAAATTCAAAAATGGGGGTGTGTGGGGATGGGAGAGAAGTACTGGAACTGGCAATGTTCTATATATTATCTTGGATGGTTCATAGATTTTCATGTAATAGTAATTCTTTATTACATATATAGAGTATATACTTTTATATGCACATATCATACTAAAGCGTTCAACACAATAAAGAGTGGGGAAAAAGAGTGGATTGAATTGTCATAAATATCACTGACAGGATGAATGAGAACAAAAAATGTAATGTCATACAAATATTTTTTTGTGTGTGACTAAGGGTAAAATTTTTTGTGTCTTCATTGTACCAGGATTTAAAAGGTGTACTGAAGATGGTGTATTTTGGAAAACTTGTGTTTACAACTCCAAAAGGGGGTCTGGTGAGGACAAAGCCAATGACACTGAAGATGCATAAAAAGAGATCTAAAAAATATTGTTTTCCTGAAATTACAATGCAAAAATACTTTAAAATTAATATTAATTTTGTTAAATTTAACTGTTTTTTTTTTTTTGCTTCTTGGTTTTTTTCTTTTTATTTTCATTGTTCTTCTTCTTCTTTTTTTGTGCTGCTGAGGATTGAATCCAGGCCTTGTGCATGTGAGGGAAGCACTCTACCAAATGAACTATATCCCCAGCCCAATCGTATCTTTGATTGGTCTATAATAAATAATGCAAGTTGACTTTTATTTCTTCTAACTTTATAAAACTGTAATATTCCAGTTGTCATAAACTGTCTTTCCAAACGTGGTTTTGAGATTACAGGGTTCTATTTGGCATGAGCCGTTAATGTATACATCAGGATGTTAAGGATTTTACCTGGAATAAATTTTTGCCACTTCTGATCCACATTGTACTTCACACAATGATTTCCTGAAGGATATATAATAATCTGTTCATCGAAGAAAAAGATATTGTTGGCCACGTGGGCTCGAAGACCAAAAACATGCAGCCACTGAGCTACGACGGTAGACATGATCCCTTGCCAGAGTTCTGCTAAAGACCAAGCAGCGGGTCAGAGCAGAATAAGTGCATTGCCCCGCCCCGCCCCACCCAGGACACGCCCCTGGCCCCGCCCCCGAGCCCTCCTCCTCACCTCGGGGTGCCCCCCCAATCTGGCCGGTCCCCTAGGGCTCCTTCTCCCCTTTCCTTTTCTCCCTTGCACGTTCAGCTCCTCCTGACGACCTCAGGGACCTCTCCCACCTTTCGCTTCTTCACTCAGGCTCAGCAGACCAAGCACGTATCCAGAGGTGCTACCCCTAGGGATTCCAAGCAGCCCTGGCACTTCCAAACGTCGCAGCGGTTCCTATGGCAACCACAAACCGGAAGTGTGGCTTGTAGCCGGAAGCGGAAGTCTCGATCGAGGAGCTGAGCACGGTCGGTGAGTTGTTGGTGCTGGTGTGGCTTGGGCGCACGTGGAGCTGCGAGTGTGAGTGGGTGCTGAGCGCAGCGTCCGCGGCGAGGGTCTCCCCTGCCAGTCCCGCGGGCCTCGGGCTACCCTGCGCTTCCAGGTAGGCGCGGGTCGGGCGTGCGACGAGATGGACACTCCCCCGCTGTCGGGCTCCGACTCGGATTCTGATGATTCTCTTGTCACGGACAGAGAGGTATGTCAGCAGAGCTCGCCGGTCGGGGCGCGGAAAGAGGGGCTCTTACTCTTCTGATACTGACCGCCACTGTGTCTTGCAGTTGCAGGATGCGTTTTCCCGCGGACTCCTGAAGCCAGGCCTCAATGTCGTGCTAGAGGGGCCAAAGAGGACTGTGAATGACGTGGTGAGCGCGGGCGCCTGGCAACTGGTACTCGGAAATGGGATGCGCACAAGGCAGTGTTGTGTTTGGAGACTGATTCTTGTCCCAGGAAGATGCAACCTGCCCAAAGCCTAGAGGGTCTGTCTGGGTATTTGGGTGTAGCACTTTTCTTATTGGGTTTGTGCGTGAGAGAGACAAACTCTTGCTTTTCTTGTGAGCTCAGTGTCTGAATTTCCTAGAATGGCCTGAAACAGTGTTTGGCTGAATTCAAGCGGGACCTGGAGTGGGTTGAAAGGCTCGATGTGACCCTGGGTCCGGTGCCAGAAATTAGTGACCCTCAGCCTACACCTCAGAACAAAGACCAGAAAGCTGTTAATCCAGAAGATGATTTCCAGCGGGAAATGAGTTTGTATGTTTATTTTCCACTATGGGAGAAGTTGGGGTCCTTGTGCTAGAGAATAAGGGAGAGAAGGAAGTAGTGAGACTGCACTCTCTGGATCCCCAGGGAGTTAGCACATGTTTGGGAATGGGAAGACTCTTCCCTAGAGGAGGAAGAGCTAAGGGATTCTCCTTGGTTGAGAGAAGAGCTCCCTGGTCTACTAGTTCTGATTTTAAGTCCAGTTTTTAGACTATTTTGAAATATTCACTTGTAAAGCTTATGTGTGTGCACATGCAGTTAGTTATTAGAACAAACTTTGTTTATCGGAGGGGGGGGGCTCCCTGACTGTACTTTGTTTAGTAATTATATAAAAATTCATAATTGACATTAATTTGTGTGTTAATTGGCACCTTTAGAGTAGTCATTCTTTTAAACTGCTAACTTATTTTTAGCAAAATTTCTCTCCTTTAAAATAATGGTGTACAGTGAAATCTTTCTAAGATGCCAAATTAATAAGGTTTCAGTCCCACTTTTGTGTGTTTATTCATTTGTTCTTGTTAGTGAAGGTCAGATGTTGAGTGCTTCTCAGCTTGAAAAACTCATGAGAGGCAGTGAGAAGGAATGAAAGCCTTTCTCCCTCATCTCATTTCACGTTTTGCCCTGTAATCTCAGCTACCGCCAGGCCCAGGCTGCTGTGCTTGCAGTATTACCCCGCCTCCATCAGCTCAAAGTCCCTACCAAGAGGCCAACCGATTATTTTGCAGAAATGGCTAAGTCCGATCAACAGATGCAAAAGGTAAGAAATGTTTTTGTCTGGAAAGCCAAGGCTTTGTACTAAAGTATATTCAGCTGGCCTATCTCCTATAGTGTTTTAGAAAGAACTATAAACCCAATATTGGGGAGCTGGTTGTCAAAGACATTTATTATCTCTTTCAGAGATTTTCTACTTTAGATTTATGGTTGTTACCACCCATTAGATAAATATAAGAATGACTTTTTCCTAATTTAAATAACTAAGGAGAAAGGAAGTAGTATAAAAATGGTCCTAAAGTTAAGATGGCTTTCATATTTCCTAGTTGCCATGACATGGTGTACAGAGAACACAGCACAGTTGTTCTGGTGCTTCTATTGCCAGGAAGCAATGCTATCACTTGTAAATACATTTTCTTCTTGGGCCCTCACTTCTTTGTAAAATGACAGATTAATATGTGGCTCAGATACAATATAATTTAGAGTTAGGTGGCACTTGGTCCTCATTTTAACTTTGAGGGGGAGAGAATTGCCAACACTGAAGCAAGGTTATATTTAAATGGATCCCCTGGGTATCAAGTTAGATGTTAGGGAACTATTGGTGGTACCCAGAGAAGCTAATCTAGAGAACAGCTCATACATGTCTCTTGTTTGTTTGTAGTGATATCTTATCCTTCAACTGAAATGTGTATGTTTGATGGAAGAGGGTGGGTATTAGATATCTGCTGGAGGTGTTTTTTTTTTTTGTGAGGCCTGTTAGAGAAGGGCACTGAGGCTGCATGCAGGCTTAACCTTTGTATAGACAGTGGGCATGGGGAGAAATTGGTTTTCTTTCACGGATGACAACTTTTGTGTAATGGAACAAACAGCACACTGGGAGTAGGAAGTTACTTTTAAGCTCTGGCCCCACCACTGATACTTTTGTGTTCTTGGGCAAAGTGCTCAGCCTTTGGGCCTCCTTGTCTTCATATGTGAAACATGGGTCAGAATAGATGATTTATAGGTTCCACGGTATACACTGTTCTCTGTTCTTCTGCACCCTAAGTAGATCTGACAACCTTTTGCATTTTAGATTCGACAGAAGCTGCAGACTAAACAGGCCGCCATGGAGAAGTCTGAAAAAGCTAAACAACTGCGAGCACTTAGGAAATATGGAAAGAAGGTGAGAAAGAAAATGTGTAAGGAATAGAACAAGACCATATTGTATGTGAAATCAGATTGCCAGGGTCTGATTTGGTTCTAGGCCTTGAGGGTGTTTGATCATGTGTTATCACAGTGGGTTGTGTGCAGTGCCAGGACTAGGGTGGTAAGGGCAGGTGGAGCTGACAGCTTCTCTGGGCTTTAATCTTCACATCTGTACAGTAATGGGTTGAGTCCAAATCGGTGGTTTCCATACCTGATCTCTCAGCAAAATTACTAGGTGAAAATTTTTGAAACATTTCCATGCTTCAGAGTTTCTGGGAATCTGTATACTTTCTCCCATGCCCCTCAAAAGCTTCTCAGGTGCTTTTGATATGCATCTTGGATGGGACTCACTGGCCTTGATTTTCCCGGTCTGAGGGAAAAAAATGGTACACATGTTTTTGACTATGATTATCTGAGTTCTAATGTAAAACAAGATTAGGCTTTCTGTGAAACTGTTCTCTACTTCCTTTTTATTGTATAGTCATGTAAGAAAGATGACAGGTATTATAGTTAAGGTTGTGGGAAGGAATGAGTGAGGAGGATTTACATGGGAGTTAAGGCTTTGTCACAGTGTTTTGGACATAGCCCTTGTGATCTGGGCATGGAGCCACTTGGGGTAATTTTCGGATAAATCCTCAGCAGAGGAAGAGGAGACTAACATCCTGTCCTCTGCTAAAGATCAGCTGTGGATTTAGTGTTTCTTTGATCTGGAGGTGGGTGGTTAACATTATCTCAAACATACTGGCAATGGCTTTATTGAAAGCAAAGCTCAGCTCATCTCACTTTCTAATTTGAGGATACCAGTGCGCAGTGGTTCCCAATGTGAGGTGATTTTGCTTCCAGGGAACATTTGTCACAGTATACACACATCTTTTGGTTGTCATATCTTGGAGTGAAGGGGTGCTGCTGGCATCCAGTGGGTAAAGGGCAGGGATGTTGTTAAACACTCTGCGATTCACAGGACAGCTGCTGTGCCAAACAAAGAGTTACCCTGTCTAGAATGTCAGTAGTATTGAGATGTAGAAGCCCTGCCTTAAAGTATATTGTCTCCTTTTGTCTTTAAAGCTTTTTTCTTTCTTGTTTTCTGGGAAGTTTTTTTTTTTTTTTTTTTTTTTCTCCCTTTTTCTTTTAGTGCTTTCATGTCTAGTAACAGTGGGTTGGATATTTAATCTTCCCAAGTATGACCAATGAGAAAAATTGACTGTAGACCTAAACACGATCTGTAGGATTGTGTGAAGAGGTAAGAGTACAGACAGTGGAGTCAGGCTGCTGGCTTGTGTATCTCTGCTCTGCACATTCTTGCTATGTAACTTGAACAAGTACACCTTCTGTGTTTCAGTTTAATAGATAATAAGAATTTGAAGGTGAACTGAGAATATATAGAGAACCCTTAGCACATAGATGTAAATGTTAAATGGTAGTGATATTAATCACAGCATGTGGTTGTGTGTTTTCTTATCACATTGAGAGAATGTGGACACTTGGAGTAATGATTTGAAATGGGTATAACTGTCCTTGTGTCCATATCACAGGTGCAAACGGAAGTTCTTCAGAAGAGGCAGCAGGAGAAAAAGCATATGATGAATGCCATTAAGAAATATCAGAAAGGTCAGTCAAATATCTCTCTGCTAAGGATGTAGGAGAATGGGGATAGAGCATACCTGAGAGGTAATTTGAACACGGAGTGCTTTGAGTCTTCTTGATTGATGGGTAACAATTGGACCTAAGTTCTGGGAATGATATGGAGAGCAAGATGTGCTTCTTAAAATCAGTTTGGAAAATAACACCTTTATTTTGAGTTTTAAACCTTTCTTCTTTCTTAAAACATAATGGTGCTGATCAAAGTGCTTCTTCACTCATAGGCTTCTCTGATAAACTGGATTTCCTTGAGGGTGATCAGAAATCCGTCCCACAGGGCACAAAGGCAGCAGCTAAAGCCCAGCAGATGAAGAAAGGGTAAGAGGTTTTTGGTTTGGTTCTGTGATGTGTAGTGGATGGGAGGACCTTCACAGGAGTGGCCTCTGAGTTGAGAGAATGCAGCTGCAGATTAGACCCAATTATAGCACCATGTGATGGATCTTTTTAGCTATATCAACCTTTGAAGATGAAAATAAAGTACTTGGTTTATGTTAAGTGAACGCTGAAGCATCATGTGGTTCCCCATCACACAATGTGTTAGTTAAAAGCACACATCTAGGGGTCAGATCTGGATTCTGCTGCTCATTAGTAGGGTAGCTTTGAGGAAGTCACTTGTTAATTGCCCATTTACTATAATGAAGAAAGGTGTGTAGTTATAGTACTGTGAATATTAAAGGGGAGAATGTTGGCTATTATTCTTCTTAGTCCACCTTTCTGTATACCTGCATACCAGGCCTGATGGGGGAATGATAATTTCCATAAAATACAACAAAAACTATGATAAAGACATTTAGGGAATAGTTTAGAAGCACATTTTAGAAGTTTCTTACATAGCCTGGGCGTGACTGCCCGGAGAAGGATCCCATCTGAGCCTAGTGTGAGGAGTAAGAATTGACCAGGAGAGTAGGAGAGAGAGAGGAAGGAGAAGGAACTCCAGTGAACAGAGGCATAGAGTCATGAGACAGCAGGTTGTGGATAAGGAACAGCCAGCATCTGGCCCCACTGGGAATGCAGTGGGAGGTGAGGAGTGGGGAGGCGGGCTGGGCTGAGCTGTTGCTCACTGTAGAGGAGCTTGGGCTTCATCCAGGAGGCAGTGGGGAGACACTCAGAGGCTTTACTGAGAATGATGAGCAGATCGTACTCATGTTTGAAAAGATTACAGTGGCATTTGGGTCAGTGATGGACTTGAGGGAAGTGGAGACATGATTAGGTGTCTATTTCAAAAGTCCAAATGCACAGTTAATAATGCTGTACACATGCAGAGGATAGCGAGGAGAAAACATGTTGAAGAAGCATCTAAGAAGTCACATCAGCATGACTTAGTAACTGAAGTGGGTACTAAGAGTGAGTGTAGAGCCGGGCACGGTGGCGCATGCCTGTAATCCCAGTGGCTTGGGAGACTGAGGCTGGAGGATTGTGAGTTCAAAGCCAGCCTCAGCAAAAGCAAGGCTCTAAGCAACTCAGTGAGACCCTGTCTCTAAATAAAGTACAAAATAGGGCTGAGAGTGTGTCAGTGGTTGAGTTCAATCCCTGGTACCCTAAAAAGAAAAAAAAAAAGAGTGAGTGTCCGCTGCCTGGGTGCCTGGGCAGATGGTAGGAGCTCTAGCCCCAAGGTGGAGCACAAGATGGAGCATTTACATAATTTACATAGGAAGTCTAGGAAGGGAGATGACATATGATTTTGAATAGACTGAATTTGATGACTCTAAAATTTATTACATTTGGATTTTGACTGCATCTTATATCCTTGAAAGGAATAGCAACAACTGAGGATGGTTTAGCAAGACTAACTTAAAATAAAAAAGCTTTCCAAAGACACATGTCATATACAGATTCTATCCTATGTTTTTTTTTGGTCTTCCTGCTCTGGGGGTTAAAACCATAAATAGATGAGGTAATTTATAAAAATGCAGGGCCAAGGATGGAATTGTGGTGATAGTAGTGCCTGCAGAGCTGTACAGAAAGGAACTGGAGAGTATCATCAGGCCATAAGGTCATCAGGGGTTACAGTGCTCCAGTGACCTGTAGGACCCCCTTTCTCCAGGCCCAGTGCCAAGCGACGATACAAAAACCAGAAATTTGGTTTTGGTGGAAAGAAGAAAGGCTCCAAGTGGAACACTCGTGAGAGCCATGATGATGTATCCAGCTTCCGGGCCAAGACAGCCCATGCCAAGGGCCCCAAGAGGCCTGGAAAGAAAGGAGCAAATGTAAGTGGTGGGGGTACGCAAGTCAGGGTGGGCACCATCTCCTCTCCCCCTAAACCCACTCTCCTCATCTGCCTCATCTCACCCTGGGGCAGAAGATCAAGTGCTGTGTGACCAGATGTGATTCTTTTTTTGTGTAGAAGAGACCTGGAAAACGAACGAGAGAGAAGATGAAGAGCAGAACCCGCTGAACAGCCTCTTTTTATACAAAGAACAAAGCAAAAGGCATGAAGCCTTGGAATTTCAAAGTACATTGGTTTCTTTTTGTTTAAAAAAAAAAAAAAATCAATGAAATGTATACTCTTGGACTGAAAGATTTGGAAGTGACTTTGCATATTAAATAATATTCCTATTTATTAATAATTTAGACTTTGAGCCTTGTTATTACTATAGGTGAAGATTTAAACTCTGCCTCCCTCATTTTCTCTTTCCAGTCCTTCCAAATAATTATATCACAATCACTGGTTGTAAAGGGAGATTCATTGTGATCACATTCCTGTTTTGATTGTTCCTTGGTTATTGATCCCCTAGACATTTTTCTCCTGCCTAATTTTCCTCTGTGTCCTTAATTCTGTCCAGATGCTTTACCATTTTATCCACCTTCTGCTGCAGGTCTGTCACTTTGTCTCTTGTAGATCTAAGTTGGCTCCACTACTTCTCAGATCCCTCAGTTTCTTAGCTTACACCTCTTTTCATTCTGTATCATTTTCTGGTATCTTCCTAAGAAAAGGAGTATAAGAGGTAAACTTTTTATCTCCCCATGTTTCTGAATTACTTCTAATTTAGCTGGTAACACTTTTCTCTTAAAGTGTTGAAGATTCTCTGTGGATCTGGTGTCTCTCATTCTCACTTCCCTCTGGAAGGTTTTCTTCTCCCTGAAAATATGAAATTTTATGGTAACATGTCTTGGTGTGGGCATATTTTTGTTCTTTGATTAAAGTGTTTAGAACGATTCATATTTTTCCATTCTGTGAAATCCTACTAGGTAACTTCTCTTCTCAAGTAGATGGCCATTTTTCTTTGTTCTGATTCTGGAATTTGTTAGTCAAATGTTGAACCTCTTCTAATTACTTGTAGGTTTGCATTTTGGGTCTAATTTGAAACATTTCTTTCTTTTTGTCTCATCATTTTATTAAATATTTATTTTAGTTTTCCTTTTACCCCTGAAGGTTTATTCTCCAATTGATTCTTTTTATATCATTTTGCATTTCTATAGTTGGAGTACCTTATCATGTCATAAATTATAGGTCAAGTTTTTTTTTTTTTAATTTTTTTGTAGTTGTAGATGGATGGGATGCCTTTGTTTATTTTTATGTGGTGCTGAGGATCAAATCCAGTGCCTCACACATGCTAGGCCAGCGCTCTGCCACTGAACTATAGCCCCAACCCTGGTTCAAGCTTTTTATAAAAGTTTTCTTTTGTTCCTTCATTCTATTTCCTTAGCCCCCACTTGTGCATTTTGCTTTTCCTTTTTCTTTTTTAAAAAATTCATTTGTACTTTTATGAGTACCATGGTGTTTCAGTACATATATACATGGTGTACTGATCAAACTAGAGCAATTCATGATTTTAATCTCATTATTACATTGTGTATTTGGAGCCTTCAAAGCCCTTCCTAGTTAATCATAAAATAGGTAAGAGGTTATTGTGAACTATAGTCACTACCCAGTGCTGTAGAACACTAGAAATTACTTCTCTCTGCTGTGTTTTGGTACCATTATTTAACTTCCCTCCAATCTTTGCAGCATGTAGTAATCACTGTTTTATATTCATTCTGATTTTTTATTTTGTATTCACATATGAGAGAACATTCTGTATTTGTCTTCTCTCTTTTGCATGTTGAGCAATAGTATTGTAGAAATTAAAAACTTGGACTAGTGGGTTTTGTTGTTTACTTCCTATTTGACCTTTGGCATGTTATCTGACAAAATGTACACAATATAGTAACTAACTCTTTGGATTTCTGTCGGTGTTAATATATGTAAAACACCTAGAACATTGTATACCGCATAATTAAGTAATAATCTTGATAATCCACTCCTTCCATGCCCAATAATCCTGTTGTTTCCCTTGTTTAGGGTTATTTTCTTGGTGTGGTTGATTAGTTCATTTTGTTGCTATAGCAAAATAACTGAGGCTGGGTTCTTTATAAAGAATAAAAGGTTTACTCAGTTGGATTTAAAGACTGAAAAGTCCAAGATTGGGCAATGACCTTATCTGTACAACCTATGTGGAGGGCCTCAGCTTGTGGAATCATGGTGAGAACGTGTATGGAAGCGATCACATAACATGACACATAGCCTCAGAAATTCAGGTACTATTTTGCTCTTTTATAACAACTTAGTTCTGAGAACTCCTTGAGACCAGTATAAATCCCATCTGAGGGAAATACTCTACCGAATCCCCTTGCACTGGGTCCCACTTCAAAGGGATCACCACCTTTTTATACTGCCAGAATGGGGACCACCCTCTAGCACATAATCATTTGGGGGACAAATCACATCCAAATTAGAGCAGGTAGCTTTCCGATGAGCCTTGGTTGTCTGGATTTGGGAGATGGTCCAATGTTGACTGGAAGCTATGCAGAGGCTGTATGTAGGTGGGCAGGCCAGTTTAGGTGCTGGCCTTACTTTGGGTGGTAAGCTCCTTTACCTGTCTTCCCTGTCTGTACCTGTTAAGAAGTCATACTTTATTTTTATGGAAACTAGAAATATCTGAGAAGTATATTCTTGAGCAGATTTTTAAAATATTTTGTGATACTGTCACTGATACAAAGAACAGTTCTATTTTCATACAATATTGAGTTTCTAGAGCAAAATTAATTTAGTTTTCATAAGCTAATTTCAGCTAACAAAATTCTGATCACACAGCTCATGTTTTCAGAAGACAAAAGGGAAAAGGGTTAAAGTTAGAGTAAATTCACATAGGGGACCTCAGAAGCAGGTAGACACTTTGAATTATGTGTGGACCCTGTTAAGAGTCTAAAGAAAGGATACAGTATGCACTGGTAAGACCAAAAGTAAGTTATTAGTGCTAAGTACTTTTAAAGGGCTTGAAAACTATTTCTCTGCCTTTTGTCCTTCCTTCCCTTTTTCCTTTTTGCCTTTTTAATTTTACAAATGGAATCCCTTGCATTAGTCTCAGAACTGTCCTCCAGAACTCATTGGCACCAGTTCTGTATCTTTCCTGCCCTCGGAGTAAAACATGATCAGGATGCAGGCAATATTATCCCTTTGTATTTCTTACTTTAAAGTACAGTCCCATGCATTGAGAGATAGCAGTCCCTAATGCAGAGTACAGGCAGTTCTTTTCATGATTTAATATCCATGGATTCCAGTTATCCAGGTGCTGTACAGCAGTGTCTCAACAAGACTGCTTTTCATTTACCAAAGTGTATCAACCGAATAGTGAGTGGCCTAAGGTAGAGACAATCTCTGCTGGCTCTTCAGTCTACAAATCACTGCATAAATAACTGATGCACAATAATCAGTGGTTATTCATCATTTCTTTCAAAGTCCATCTGTGATTGGTCACTATGCATCTGTTATTCATTTCATAGACACATGAGAACAATGTGTATAATTGTGTTTTCTCCTTGTCTCAGCAGTGAACCCACACATATTTTAAAGGAGCAGATGATGGAAAGAGAATTGATCAACAAAGATGAAGGTGCAGTTGGGCTGGGTTTGTGGCTCAGAGGTAGAGCTCCCGCCTAGCATGTGTGAGGTGCTGGGTTTGATCCTCAGCACCACATAAAGTGAAATAAAGACATTGTGTCCACTTATGACTAAAAAAATAAATAAATTAATAATAAAATTTTTTAAAAAGATGAATGTACAGTCAAGAAATAAAAAATGATCAGGCTTGAAGTGAAATTTGAAAAGAACACCACTGCAGTTACTGATACAGCAGCAGCTGATACACCAGTGTTGTTACTGCTGCTCTTCTGGAGACTAGATATGCAGCTTGAGACACTTAGGGAAAGCAATCTACTGATATAAATGGGGAAAGATGAAAAGGGGGGAAGGTGTTCCCCAAGAGGTAACACTGGCAAAAGCAGCTTTTTTTGGAGGGGGTACTGTGGATGGAATTCAGGGGCACTTGATCAGTGAGCCACATCCCCAGCCCTATTTTGCACTGTATTTAGAGAGTAATTTTCCATCTATTGACCTCACACCTTGATTCTCGGCTTCAAATTCCAACTTGTCCATGCTGTACTCAGAGTTGAATCCAATCTCCCTTATAGCAGAATCCCATTCCGGTGCCTATTCCTATGGCATTAGTAGCCTCCCTTGAAGAAAGTCTTCCTTCTGGACTTTAAAAGTCACTGAACAATTGGTTCATTATGCATATTCTTGTACCCTTCTTTTTCCCTTTGGTGTCATCTCTTCCAGCCTCTAGCCATATCTTTCCCTTCTATACTCACCCCTTCTTTGTATAAGTGGTTGGGGCTCCCACAGAAACCTTCTGCCTGAATACTGCAGTTTCCTGTCTCAGAGGCGACGCCCCATGTCTGAAGAGGAGCTGGTGCAAATGAGCAGCTCTATTACTGCCCTGCTCAGTGGTTCAACCTGGACTAAAGGAGTTTTGAATTCAAATCTTCATGAAGCAACCTGTTGCAGAGCCACGTGCCCGAGGCTAGAGGTGAGTAAGGGAAGACAAGGGCAGGCCCCTGGAGTGGGAGCTGGAGAAGTGCAGGGTGCAGAGAGCTCCTGGGAGGGAAGCTCACCCCGGAATCACTCAGTGGATAAAGATACCTGGGATGAAGCCAAGGAGACAGGAGCAGCATCGGCTGGGTCTGAGGTTGGCCTCTTACCCTCCTTTCTGTTCTTCCTGGTTTGCATCAGAGTAACCTGCCCATGTGTATTGGGCATGGGTGGACCAGGCCTGGTTCTGGGCCCACCAAAACCACCACCTCCTTTGCTACTTATATATCCAAATGAGAGAGTTGCTGTAATGTCTCCATTCCATGACTGGGGAACTAGGTTTAAAAATGTCGTGGTAACATCATACCTGAGGTCACACACCTGTGAAGCAGAACCAAGGCCACCTGGCTCCCTACCCTGCCCTCTTAGCTACCACCTCTATTGCCTTGGTGCTTCCTAGTGTTTATTTTATTTATTTTATTTTTTCAGAGTGGAAATTAGAAGTTTATTAAAGGACAGCAGAAAAGACTTCTCCTGGAGGAAGAAGGGGTCCCAAGAGATGGAATCCTCCTAGTGTTTATTAAGTGTGGGAGCCACACTCATCAAAACCTCTGCATCCCCTCCATTTCTTGACTTTCACCCCGTCTCTCTGGATGTTCCTTCCTTGGTCCTGGAGCAGCATGAAGAGTGAGATTCAGAAACCTGGCAGGAGACACAGCCC